ATAATTAGTTCTCGATATAGGACCCAATTAGTCTCACTAATCTTATTAGAAGAGGTACAAATGTAATACAATTCTATTCTAACCTTAAGTGCTATGGATTGAGTTTTTGAAAAGTCCTAAAGTGTTTAAGAATTATGATACATAAGGCTAGTCTAATCCTATGCATAAGATTCATATGTAGCTTTATGAAGATGAGACAATCATGAAAAAAAAATGAAATAGAAATTATTAGAACCTGCTTTTCAGTAATAGGTGGATTTTAGTTGGAGACTTTTTCTCTTGAGTAAGCCTTTTAGGTAGAGCTTGAGATTTTTAAATAGCTCTTTGGAGATGACATTGTAAAGAATCAGAAAGTGTTCTAAATATTCTTCTAAATTTTTATTAATTTTGATTAGTTGTTACGATATGCATAGTCGATATTATTGTATGCCGTGCTTCCAACACCTAAATGATGCTAAATAGATAAGAAAATATCTCAATACATTAATCACAATATTTATATTTGATAAAAATAAATTAATCCAGTCTTGAAAAATAATAATTGATATATTAAAGATGTGTCCAAGCTAGCTTTGATATAAATGTTTATGTTAGTAAAGAAGTTTTCATGTTATTTATGTAGAACAAATGGATCTTCTTAATCTATAAGCAAATGCATATCCTTGTACATCTTTCATGTATATAGCTTATCAGTTTGTTATATCAATCAATCTATCAATATATATAGTTCGAACTAATAAATCAAACAACTGTGTACGTTCAACTAATTAATTAAGTTGTGTTTTGATATAAGGATCTCATTTAAAATTCTAGAATTCAATTCTATATTTTAAAATTTGGAATTTAATTTTAATTTCATTGTTTGAAAATTGTTAGAATTTCAATTCTAGAATTCTCAATCCTAAAGAAAGATAGAGACTAAGAAAGAGGTACCTTATTTGTTCTTTTTTTTTTAAATCCTAGCCGTCTTAGACTGAGAACAAAGGAGGAAGAATAGATGTACCTATGATTAGGGTTAGGGTTTCAGAATTATTACAATGGACGAGGTAGGAATTGGGGTGGGAGGGGGGGTGGGGGGGGGACAGTCAAGAGGAGAGAGTGAGTGGAGTCAAGAGAGATGAAATTTGAAAATGACATGGGTTTAGCTGCCATTTACAATTAATGGTCCAGTATAGTATTACAATACAATTAGAACCGGGCCAATTCCAAAAGACCCAATTACTTTGTCATCCAGACATTGAATTGGTCCAATTCTAGTTTCCAAGCGTACAATCTGACAATGAGTCAGAGGTATTGGAAGGAGAGAGAACGACAATAGGGGACAATCAAGCTGAGGGCTCATCGTTGGAGTGGAAATTTGTATGGAGTTTAGATTCCAATTAAAATCAAAATATTTGCATAGAGAGCATGTCATGATATTATACCTAGATAATAAATATTAAACCATAGATGCTTAATGGTGAGAAATGGTTGTTTGGTGTGTGGAGCAAAGAGAGAATTAATATATCGTGTTCTATATATGGGCATGTCCGTTCGCGAGACTAGCTAGTTTGAGCAATTACATGCATACCTTCATTTTTGGAGTGGATAGAGGTGAGCCAAGGACTAGTAGAGAACCCTTTTGCAGGTTGAGGTAAGCATCAAACTTGATTTGGTCATTGTGATCTCTTGGTCCTAATGGAGAAATAGAAATGAGGTTAAACATCAAGGGAAAGGAAGAGGAGCTAAATATTTATTTCATGGGGCTGGGGATTACCAATATGAGTACCTTGCTGCTCAAGAAGCACAATTGTAAACACCTTTGAAGTCGGTTCCTACGTGATGGATCCCTCCAAGATTGAACAACATGAAGGTCAGTGTCGACGGAGGAGTTTTTGACTGTCAGCGTGCAATCGGAATAGCAGTTGTGATTCAAGATAATCATGGGCTTTTCTTTGTAGATCTCTCAAAGATGGTACGAGTGCATGGCAACATGAAGTTTGCAAAATTCATAACTATGAAATGAGGCAGTTCAATTTGCATTGGAGATTAGCTTTCAAAGGGCTTAATCCGACGATGATGCAGAAAAGGTCATCTTAGTTATGCGAAAAATAGATACAATACTCCTCTTTTGGACATATTGTAGAGGATGTGAGACGTCTCTGTGGCACATTTGAGCACCATTATTTCAATATGGCTCGTTGGACAGGGAATAAAGCAGCTCATGTGCACTTGCTAGAAAGGCTATTAATTTCGAAGAGTGTCAAGTATAGTCTTTGAAGACCCACCTGATTTCATGGAGAGCACTCTTGTCACGGATAGGGAAAAGTTGGTCGAGGGTGAGATTTGTCATAGGCGTGCTCAAGAAGTTCAGAAGTAAGTAGAGTGTTTCGGTGTTCTGAAGAACAATTGTGCCAATGTTGGCTGATGATTAAAAACAAAAAGACCATTAGAAATTCCCACACAATCTGATCCCTTCAAGGTTCGAGACAAACTGAATCAGCGATGAATTTGAAGAACGATGAAATGACCCTTGCAAGTCATTGATTTGAACCATTAAAAGGGTAATTCTCAGCAAAAGAAATTAATTATCTCAATGACATTCAAGCGGGTTGGATTAATTCCTTAACGATAGTTTAGGATCTGATCTCATCCATCTTAATTAAATAGAAGTCATAGGAGCGGTGATGTAAATAAAAACATTGCAGACTGTGACCGATCTAAGTGTATATTATTTTGTTATCTTGATGTCAACAAATTGCATTCAAATATGACCTGAACTATACAGCAATGTACGAGTAAATATTAATTGTTCTGTGGCCTAATTTATAAGATACGCCTGACTACAGAAGTAGCAAAATTGTGACCTGAACTCTCATCAAAATATTGTTTATTACATACTGTTGATATAGTATTACTATTTACTTTTTAAAAAACAGTTAAAATTAAGTTGTTCTATGAGTTTTTTTTTTTGGGTGGGGGGGCTGAAGACAGCAAAAAAGGAAAAGCATGCTTATTACCCTAAAAAAAAAAGGAACCACAAACATACTAATATAGAAAATAAAGTAGAAGCTGTATACATATGTTTCAAAAGTGTATTTTAAAATTATCTATAACTAATTATGTCAATCTCTCATGATTTTCCAGGAACGCATATTGTACCAGTCTTTCCTACCTAGTGTTCGCACAAACACAAAGCTACGTGTTACGCACTGGGAGGTCCTAGAATGAGGCCAAAGAGGGACGTGACCGACGGACTTGAGCTCGGAACCTTGGGATATCTACAGCTGTATTCCTTTAGATTTTTTTTTTTTTTGTTTAGGATTTTTCAAGATTAATCCCTTATATCTTTCACGTTTTGAATTAGTCCCTCAAATCATGGGAATTGCTATCATCTCCCTCAAATCTTGAGTTATTGTGAAATTATCTCCTCATCATTGAAATTGCTATTAGGTCCCCGAATTATTATAAGTTGTTTCAAATTAATCTATCTGATTCCCATTTCTACTCTTGGCTAGAGGGACTTTCGTTCAAAATAAATTAAGATGGGATCTAATAGAAATTTCAATGATTTGAGGGACTTAATTACAACTTCCACGATTTGATTTTTCAGGCACTAATTCAAATTGTTCGTTTACATTTATTTATTTATTTTTATTTGCATCTTAAATCTTGGCATTTTTTTTTTGTAGGCCTTGAGATTTTGCACGGTTGTAAAAATTAGAAGAGGAATCATAACTGCTTAGAACAAAAAATGTTTTGAGTCCTAGACGACTTGATCAATCATGCGTAAGGCTCCCACATAAAGAATGCGGGCTCCATTTGGGTGAAAGAGAGAGTTCAATCACACGAAATAATAATAATAATAATAATAATAATAATAATAATAAAATAGATAAATAAATAAATAAACAACAATTTCATTTTCGTAATTCTTCAGGATAAGTTGAGAAAGGATGTTTTTCATATAAGACCATATTACTATCATCACATTGTCATGAGAGTCCTTTCAATCTTCATTTTCTCAATTCGTATCTCAACATTTTAAGAGTCGTTTGAATTACACCCCAAGTAAAATTCTGTCTACATCAGTTATTATGACGTGATTAAATTTTAACATGCTGATAACTTATGTTTAATATCCTTGGTTAGGATATATTTTATTGTTGTAATACTTATTCTCTCTCACTTTTTCTTTCTTCTAATTAAATTTTCTAGTTCAATCACTGGATGTAAATAGGAGAGACTGGGGAGGCAATCTGCTTATAGAGAAGAAAAAAGGGTGGAAAAATATAGAAGTCAAACAAGTATATAATATCACCTAATCAATGATAATAACCTGTTTGACTTTGTGCCAAGTAAAGAAAATAAATATATATGAACTTATATAAATAATATTACATGGCATTGAATTATTTTATTGTTTGATCTTGATTGAAGGGCATATGACATCTCTTTTATCTATCACAAATGAGTTCCAAACAAGATGAACAAGTCCATAACTTTTCCTACTTCACATTAACTCTATTTCAAAACGGCCCAAATAAAATAACAATAACGATGAAAATTTAATCATAAATATTAGAATTAGTATAAACTATAATTCTCGATTCCCGCTATAACTTCTGAGTTTTTGTGTAACGGTTTGATGAGCTTAATTCAAGATGGTAATCATCGATCCTCGCCATAACTTTAGAGTTTTGGTCTAATAATTAGAGGGATTTAATTGAGAATAACAATGATGAAAAATTAACCATCAACCATAACAACAATGAAAAAATAACAATATACTAATAGAAGAAAATGGGTGAAATAAATTAACGCTATGAAAAATATAAAGGCCATATACAATTATGATGGTATATAAGGTCTAATATGTAAGAGACATGTATAAAATTGATTTTATACTTCCGAATTCTGTGGGTGGCAGAGTTCGATTACCTTATTACACCAGCGACGAGACCTTTTTTTATTAGGTTCGAGAGAAAAAGACGAGACCTTTACTTATTTATTTATTTACTGAGAGAAGCAAAAAAGAAAAAGAGGAGACTTTTATTTTTCGTGGTTTCTTGGGCAAGAGGTTTTAATAAAAAACGAAATCCACCTCATTTACCACGGCGCCATGCGGCGATTTGTCCTCGAAAGGGCAAAGCAACTGCTCTCAACCTCTATAAGATCAACCTCATCCTCTCCGCCACAATCACCATCGCCTCTTTCCTCCCTGCTTTCTCGAGCGGCGGATGTCCTCTTCATCCTCTGCTGCCGGCGCTGGCGTCACTGTTGAAACTATCAACCCTAAGGTGAGAAAGACAGACCCTTTCTTCGATCTCATCGATCAAGATCAGATTTTGATTGGTGGTTTGATCCAAATTCGGCGATTTCCCATCTGGGTTTTCTCTCTAATCTTTTTTATTTGATTCATTGGAATTATTTTGGTTTTTTTTAAATTCTTTTGTGAATAGTTTGATCACATGTTTGTGATCTTTGAAGTTAGGCATTGATGTGATAGTCTCTGAAATTGTCTCGTTACAAAAAGCGAATGCTTTCTGCAATTTGACAGGCCAATGGTTTTTAATATTTTTTATGGATCTGACCTCCATCCATAAGCCCATTTGATTTTCAAGTATTTTGATGGGGGTAAGCTTAGTGAGCCTCTCTCCTGTACATTCGTCAGCTAAGCTTTCTTCTTCAGATATAGGCTATAGTCTATATAGCTCATTGTTCTGTGCTCATAGGTATTTTCCCCCCTTCTTTTGTTTTCATTTTACCTTGCTGTTACTACAAATAAATATACGTTTTCTTTCTGCTTATCCTTACCTTGCTCTGTATAAATATTTATACTTTTCTCTCCTATGGCTTTGCCCCCAAAACATGGACTGTACAGTGCCATTGAGTATATCATCGTCGAAGTCTTGGGCATATCACGGAATGAGAAGCTTCAATTAATTATTACATGTTAGTAAAATAGCTTCTGTCAACATTCATCGGTTGATGTGGGGCTATGGACTTTGACAATGCGGATTCATAGAAGTCACCACTGTCTATGTTGAGCCATTACGTTTTATATATCAGATCGCTTTAGGGGATCTCTCACTTGTTTTTCACTTCGTCTTTTTCTTGTATTTATGTATTCCTGGTATCTTTCAGGTTGTGGAATGTGAGTATGCTGTTCGTGGAGAGATCGTTATCCATGCTCAGGTTGATTGCTTTTCCAAGTGGATCTATTATTCTTATAATATTTGCATAACTAATACATAGGCTTCAAAGGATTGATTTGGACACCTCTGTTTAGAAGACACATCTGGTTCCGTTCTTGTTCACTATATTTTCACAAAATACACTATAATTGTCTTTCATGCAACATGTAGGCTTACTTCAAAGTTCCCTTGTCCATGAAGCTCATAGAACAACATGGAAAATGGCCCACTGATCAATCAATTCTCACATATTTAGCTCTGCAACACTTGATGAAATGTTTTATTTGAAAAAAAGCCTTGATGAAGTCAATGTATTGAGTCTATTGAGTATTGACATAACCAGCATACATCAAGATGAGCCAAGCATATGACCTTTCTTTGCGAGAGGTTCTTATTGCAAGTTCTCCTAAATCTCCCAAGTCGTCAAAAAGAATTTCCCCACATTATTTATTTCTATATCTCATATATGATAGAACATATCACATGTACAAGCTAGTAATTTATGTAGGTACCAAATCTCTATGACAAAGTACTATCACTGCATATTGAGGCAGCATAAAATTTTAAGACTGATAGTGCTTACAAAATAGATACTAATAAGTTGCAAAAATTTTATGCAAAAGTTCTTTCCTTGTGCAGCTGACTGTTTTAAGCTTACTTTAAAATGTAACAAAATTTATGAATCAGATTTTAAGCGGTTTGTTATTTTTTTCGCAGCGCCTTCAAGAAGAGCTACAAAAGAAACCAGGTAGCCATCCCTTTGATGAGGTATGTATCGGCTTTTAGGACAAGTCAACAATAAAAGCTTTTGGTACAACAATGTCACTCAAATCTTACTTTCTTTTGGCAGATACTTTATTGCAACATCGGGAATCCACAGTCTCTAGGCCAGCAGCCAGTTACCTTTTTCCGAGAGGTTAGCATATATCTAGTGAAATTGGGTTTGTGCAGTTGACTTGAGTTTTTCTGGATGTTTATTTCCTTCTTTTTTAAATTTCAGGTTCTTGCTTTGTGTGATCATCCAACAATTTTGGACAGAGATGAAACTCATGCCTTATTCAGGTAGGTGTTCAATCTTCATTAGGATGCATCCAGCATCACTAGTGATTTATTATATAATTAGAGAGGCATAAGATTGGTTTTTGTGAACAAGCAATGTTCTAGAAAGTGAGAAAAATATGTAGAACTGCAGGGAGTCATGCTATGTAGGAAGTATTTGACTTAAGTTATCAATTAGATTTTTATACAAGTTATCAATTAGATTTTTATACTCTAATTTAATTTCTTATTTTCAGTGACTGTTCCTATCACGTTGATTCATCTTTTGTGCTGCTATTATTTGGTACATGGATGCTGGGCGTTTGTTTAGTAACTTGTTATATTTGAAAATTTATATTACAATTCAACTTAAGGAAACCCACATTTATTACGTTGGTTGTACTTCTTGGGGAATTGCTACAAATTTTTTCCACTACCACCATTCCTAATGGTAATGGTACATATTTATATCTTATTACAGTGCGGATTCCATAGCAAGAGCTTGGCAGATCCTAGACCAGATTCCTGGTCGAGCTACAGGTGCCTACAGTCACAGCCAGGTGAGCTTATGCTCAAGTTACCCTCAAAAGATATATCTCCTTTTCAACTTAATGAAGTTGAAGTTCTCTGGGGTTACTATTTGCTTCAGGGTATCAAAGGATTACGTGATGCAATTGCAGCTGGAATTGCTGCTCGTGATGGTTATCCTTGCAAAGCAGAAGATATATTCTTAACCGATGGAGCAAGCCCTGCTGTAATCAAATTTGAACTTTTGATTTTCTCAGTTGAATTTATGGTTTGATTTTGGCAGAAGAGCTTCTTGCTTATTACCTGTTTGTCCCTCACAGGTCCACATGATGATGCAATTACTGTTGAGGTCAGAGAAAGATGGCATCCTTTGCCCCATCCCTCAATATCCTTTGTACTCAGCTTCAATTGCTCTTCATGGTGGCCATCTTGTATGTTGATCTCTTTATCTATAAATCCCATTTATATAACTTCTATTTGATATAATTGTAAGATTTGTGAGGGTATCACCCATTTGTACACAAGGTGTATGGAGGTGACAGACGAACCTAATTATGATAAATCATGAAAAATTAGTGCATTTTGATTTTGTGCTAGATAGTGCACCATTGAGACATTTCAGGTTCATGTAATGGATGGTTTTTAACTGTTTCATTCAGTTGACATGTGGTAGGCTATTAAGACTATGGTCAACTCATGAACAACCTTCTTAACTATGGTCTTTTGATACATTAAAAACGTTCAAGGGCCTTGAATTCTCTAAACAGCTGAGCGGTAATTATAACCCTGTCTGCCTAGTATCGAGGTAATCGGGTTATGGATTCTATTTGATTATCAAATCAGCTTCAGGTGTGAAGAGCTGACATTATTAATGAAAGGGCAGAACTTTGGTTACTTCAATGTCTTCTAGTTCCTTCATATGTTAATATCACTCCCAGGAATTGTATGTTTGTTTTGTAACTACATATGTGCATGTTAAATATAGTTTACACAACAATTTGTGACTAAATAGAATGTTCTGATATTTTGTTTCGGTTTTGGATTCCCATGATTGTCTTGTTCCACTCAATTTGCCTGTCAATTAAGCAATCCTGGTGGGATCAAGTAGTTCCCTTGTTTTATGATTATGGTATGTATTTAAAGGGAGAAACCTCTAAGAGAATTGTTTTGTTTTAGGTCCGATATTACCTCGATGAAGCAACAGGGTGGGGACTGGAGATTTCTGAGCTTAAGAAGCAATTGGAAGATGCTCGATCAAAGGGTATAACTGTCAGGGCACTTGTAGTCATAAATCCTGGGAATCCAACGGGGCAGGTTTGTTCTGAGATTCTCATGATTCAATTGTTTAATGAAGAAACTATGAAGCAGTTTTGTTTATGAGTTCCAAGGCAGTTGTATGTTGTAGAAGTTATTGTGCCTGATCAATTTTTAGCAAGAGACTTTTTTTATTTACTATTTAATATTGACTTTTACTGGAAACTCTGTTGCGGCATCATTGCCAAGCCATAAGCATATCCATCGGAGACTGTTGACTATTTTCTTCATCTATTATTGCTATCTAGACTACATCACTAAAAAATCTTTCAAATCCTGTTCCAATTCGCTTATGTAACATAAGATTTATGTTCCCGTATAATTTTTCTGGCGGATGTAATACAACTGTTAAATTGAGATACACGATTAGGTACCCTATCAATATGAGTTCTCTTGGAAAGCAGTCTGATAACGCCCCTATCAATCTTGACATTTAAGTTCTCTTGAAAAGCAGTCTTTTTCTTATTCTAATTGATTTTCTGCTCTTCTCCAGGTTCTTGCAGAAGAAAACCAGCGACAAATAGTGGAATTCTGCAAAAAAGAAGGTCTTGTTCTCCTAGCAGATGAGGTAAGAACGACTTGTGTGCTTTCATCTTCATTTGAACTTCACTGCCATAAAATGGGATCCAGTGTCAGCCTTAAGGTCCAACGGGGAAATTGGCGAAATTGTGCATCCTACCATCAACATGTTCATTGCACTAATTCATTGAACCATTTTTTTGATGCTCGTAAAAGAATTTTGTTTCCTGGCTCCAATTGATTTTCTTTCTTTTATCCCTTTTTTTTTATAAGCAATGCAATGTGCTGTAATTTTCACAGGTCTACCAAGAAAATATCTATGTTGAAGACAAGAAATTTAACTCTTTCAAGAAGATTGCACGATCAATGGGATACGAAGACCAGGATATTTCTCTAGTATCATTTCAGTCAGTTTCTAAGGGTGGGTATATTCATTGGTTTTTGTTCTCCTCGACAAATATCAATCATAACTCATGGGATTTTTCGCTTTTCAGGTTATTATGGAGAATGTGGAAAGAGGGGTGGCTATATGGAGGTTACCGGTTTTAGCACTGAAGTGAGAGAACAGATTTATAAGGTGGCATCAGTAAATCTTTTTAGCACTGAAGTGAGAGAACAGATTTATAAGGTGGCATCAGTAAATCTTTGCTCAAATATATCTGGTCAAATTCTGGCAAGCCTCGTCCATCAGTAAATCTTTGCTCAAATATATCTGGTCAAATTCTGGCAAGCCTCGTCATGAATCCACCTAAGGTGAATATCATTCCTTTCATTCCTTTTTAAAGAGAATAAATGAATTTCCTGCATATATGATGAATTTCTGTTTGTGATTACAAGAAACATAAGTTGGGTTGACATGCAGGAAGGGGACGAATCCTATGAGTCTTATGTTGCAGAGAGAGATGGAATACTTCAGTCTTTAGCAAGGCGTGCAAAGGTCAGTTCTAAATAACCTTTTCTTCTTCTTCTTTTTTCCCTTCCCTCTTTGACTTATTAAATCTTGTTAGCTATGGAGAGCAAGAAGCTGGTTGTTTGAGATGGTTTTGTCAAGTGCAACGTCCGCCGTTAAATGAACCAATTGGGATAAATGATAATGTTATAACTTATAACTAACGGAGAAAAGAGAACTTGATTGCGAATAAGAAGTGTTGATAGTTAATAAAGGAGATAGCCATTAACAGAACTGAATGGAAGAATAGGATTTCATGTAGCCGACCCGGAAACTGGCATAAAGACTTTATTGTTGTTGTTGATTACCTTATAGGGAAAAAATTTATTTAAGATCATGTTATCATCCTCCTTTGTTGAATGTTGAATACAGGCACTTGAAGATGCATTCAACAGCTTAGAAGGCATAACATGCAATAAGGCAGAGGGAGCAATGTATCTTTTCCCTCGTATTCGCCTACCTAAGAAAGCCATTGAAGCTGCCGGTAATACAAAGCCTGATGCATTCTATGCACGTCGCCTTCTTGATGCAACTGGAATCGTCGTGGTTCCTGGCTCTGGTTTTGGGCAGGTGAGAGAAGAGCTAATATACACGAATTGCATACTTTCTCTATTTGAAATGCCTCACGCTGTGTATTAAAGCAACATTTGGCTGTGTTAGGTCCCTGGAACATGGCACTTCAGGTGCACTATACTTCCTCAGGAGGATAAGATCCCAGCTATCATCTCCCGATTCAAAGAATTTCACGAGTCGTTCATGAATGAATACCGCGACTGAACTCCTCTCCTCGACTAGTTGATTAGATCTCACAAAATCATAAATTGAGCTGGGTGTTCTATGTGGTTGATAGAAATAATAAGACCATCCATGTTTTATCTGTTAGTGGATGGATCAGTTTTACCGCAGTTGCTTGGTGGTTGCGGTATACAAACAATTCAGACTTTAGAGGTCATTATGTTGTACTATTTAATAGAGATGTGTTGTCCTGTGCGCTCATTTCATTTGATGATGAAGGAAACTGATTAATTTTGGAACCATTTCGTGCTTACTTGAGTTTCTTAAATTTACATTAGTATTCCAATAGCAGGCGATGCCTACATGATCCAATACATATTTATTAATTAAACTTTTATAGCTTGGTTGCGGTAGAATGTTGTCAGGTGTATGTTGTCATGGATAGAGGAAAACAATAAATTTTGAAACTAAACAGAGTGAAGTTGTACCTGATAAAGATTGAGTTGAACTATAGATAACACATCCATCATATATATCTTAAGCACTGCGTCATCACTATAATCATAATCACCATTACTAGAAGAGTACCTCTTTGAAGTCTCCTAGACCTTTAAAATTTTCACAGAAGTCCAAAGTTTTGAATAGCCATTTTTATTCTTTTGAATAGCCATTTTATTATGTGAACTTGATTTTTGTGGAATATTCTTGAACGTGGTTTGGAGGAGAGGAATCAGTTACTATTTTAATTTTCTTAGTGTTTAGGTTGCGGGTGCAGTTAGCTTTTAGTTAAGATGCTCACTTCCTTTTAGTTCATGGGTGTAGCTGCATAACTGAGTTGGAAGTAAGTTTTTTCCCTCTTCCAAGTTTATCCATTTGTTAGTTTTCAAATTATTACTAGCGTATGTTTAACTTTCGATATGTTTGGAATTCTTTTAAAAGGTGATTAGCATGGGTTTAAATGTCATTTTAGTGGTTTACGAATTTTGTTTATTACAAATCATACTTACTCCCGTTAAAAGTACTAAGTTGGAGAAAATCTTTCCATGGTCAATATTACCCTTAACTTTTTTAAAATATTATATTGTTATCCTAATCTATTTTAATTTTCTATCTCCTTTGAATTTATAATTAAATGATTTATCATATCCATAAAGAGACTTATCATGTTATTGGATAAAGAATGTACATTTGATATAATTAAAATCTTTTACTTATTTCAGTTTACAGGAAAATCTAAAAAATATATGTCAGCCAACACCTAAAAGTTTTTGGACCTTGTAAAAATACCCTTCAAGTTTTTTTAATTGCAAAAACACCCCTACAAATTTAAAAATTAAAACATCTTGAAAATTATAGATTTTATTTATTTTAATTTAGTGAGAAATCTGAAAAATATATGATAGCTAAAAAATAAAAGTTTTGACATTGGAGAAAGTATCCTGTAAGTTTTAAAAAATGCAATAACACTCTTAAAATTTTAAAATTTGTAAAAAATACCTTAAAAATTTCAAACCTATAAACACACTAAAACCCTACAAATAGCAAAAAAAAACCCCGAAATTTATGGAATTTACAATAAACACTCTAAACTTTTTACAAATTACAAGATAATACCCTTAAGATTGTAAAATTTATAAAAAAAATCCTTATAATTTCCAACCTAACAGTACATTAAAAATATAAGAGTTACAAATATCCCTGCATAATTTATAATTTATAAAAAACACCCTTAAAGTTTTAAAAATTACAAACAAACATTTAAAATTCAAATTTTACAAAAAAAAAACACCCTGAGAATTTCAAACTCATTAGCAAATCGAAAATATAAGAATTATAAATAGTCTATAAACAATTTACAATGTATAGAAAAGACCTATAAGTTTAAAAACTTACAAAAAACCCCTAATGTTCATAATTTATAAAAAAACACTATGAGAATTTCTAACATGTAGATAGTAAAATGAATATACAAAATTACTTGCAACCCCTATAAAATAAAAAAAATTATAAAAAAATATCATACTCCCTTTAAAAGTATAGGTTTAGGAAAAACTTTTCATGATCAATATTATCCATAACTTTTTAAAAAGAACAAAACTAATTGAAAACCTATTAGATTTGAAATTTACAAAAAAAAAACAAACTTAAAGTTTAGTACATTGTAAATTACCCCTCCAAAGTTTAAAATTTTTCAATGATTTTTTGTAGTTCCTTGATTTTAATGTAAATTTTAATAGTTTTTTGTATTTCTAAATTATAAAGTTTAGGGTGTTTGTTTTTACAATTTTTAAAACTTTTGAGGGTGTTTCTTTTGTAGTTTTCTAAATTTTCATTGTGTTTTTAGTGTAATGCATAGATGCATCAATTAATTAATGATGATATTAAAGAGTAAGTCGTTCTTAAGATGTATTAAGCTATAATTAAGTATGCACATCACTATTCCTAGGTAGTATAGTTTATACATGCAAAAATTTTCAAACAATTTATATAGTGGTTAAAACGTTTTTGACTTTAATGTACTATTTTTTATAAATTATATTTAATGTGAACCCACCATTTAATTTTGACTGTGGTCATTATAATTTTAATATATTTAATCGATTAACTATATAGGTATATAGACCATAGATTACTTTACTTTCTTGCATGAACTAATATTTGGTACTTAATAATTTAAATTATTATTTTTAAATTTAATATAAAGAGGAGCGTTAATAACATTTATTTATTTACCTATAGGATAATACAATTTCAATTCCTATTTTTGCTTGAGATTTATTTTATAGTTACGCGTATAAAATTACTAACTAAAATAATAATTATTTATGTTTAAATTAGGATGATTGTAGTTGGTCACTCGTTATGAATTTTTTGTGAAGATATATACATTACTTTCTATAGCTATCAGCATTGCCTATGTATATTTTATAAATTAGTTATTAATTTAATATATTAAATTATTTTTCCTTCGTAGAAATTTTTTTCTTTGACTTTTGGATTGTGTTATCACTATGTCACCATTCTATCGTAGAAATGACCTCATTCTAAATGGATTCAAGCCAATGTTTGAGTTGAACTAAAGTATATACTATTGCTACTATGTATATATATTTTTTAAGAAAATCATGTCGACACTTTTTTAACATAAATAATATTCTAACATCTGATATTATAAAAATAAAATATAGTCAATTGAGTGACTAGCAAAAGTGGACTTACATCAGAAATGTGTGAATAATAAGATAAAGAGGAAAGATAATGGCATTGTCAATAGTATTACTAATAGCAAACTACAATGTAAAGTTACACTATTTTGTGGAGCCCAAACTACTGGCTATAAGCATCGATGTTTTCATATATATATATATATATATATACTTTATAATTTATTAAAAAGGGTATATAATCTTATATAATAAAATTAATTTAATATTGAATAGTACTATCATTGTAAATGAGCAATTATAAAGATGTTAAGGACTATAACATGTATGTATTTAAGATTTCACGACGAATATCTTAATAACCAATTTATATAAACACGCCCACTTTGTCACATATTCTATTCACTTTTCTCCTCGCTCATTCTCCACCAATTTCGCTGTCACGCTCGGAGAGAAATAGAATTCATGTCGGTGAGGTCTTCTCTCCCTCTATCCGTTGATCTCATATTTTTTAAATTAATATCTTTAATTCTTTTTTAATAATTTCTTGGATCCATTTCATGCTTCATTCTATGAAATAACTTGTTAGATTCAATTTAAATATAATTTTATTTCAATTATTATTTTTCCCTATTTATGGGTCAATTAATCACCAGAATGTTTAGGTCTATTTGTCCATTTCATATTTTGAATTAACAGTTTATTTTAGGAGAATTTTTAAAAATATCACTTTTTAAAAATATTAGCAAAATCGACTGTTTTACATAATAATTAATAAAATTGACATCTTTTTTTGCTACACCATGAAGACCGGCAAAAAACCACACCATAAAGCTTGACAAAAAAGAGGTCGATTTTGTAAAAAAATTATTTTTATATACACGGGACTCATAGTCTCGTGTAATTAGAGATTGTTAATTACAAAAGTAATTGAAGTTAGAAAATACACTAGACTACCACTCTTGCGTATTTTACAGTCAGAACCAGAAAATACATGAGACTACTGTATGTCCTATATACAATATAATTGCTCCAGGTAAGTGAATTATAATAACATTTTTCATTCATATTGTTTGGAATAAGATTTGATAGAGACCTTACATCAAAGAGATTTTTTTATATGTAAAGTACATGGCGAAATATATCATAATCTCCCTGCTCTAATTTCGCAAGAAAATAATTCTTCATACTTTCAGTTTTACTTTTATAATACGGAGAATGAGCTATAAAATTGAATGAGAATATTAGATAATGTAAATATGAGTGAAACCACAACTAAAAGTTAAAGTGAATATGAGTTAAACCACAACTAAAAGTTTAATGGACATATTGCAAGTAAATTTATATGTAAAATTCCTTTACAAATTGAATGATCACTCGTATTTTAAAGACTTTAAGATACTAATAAACAAAGATATTGTACTGGATTAATATGTTTATAACTCACAAATAGTATATCACGTGGTGACAGTATGGGTTGAAGGAAACAATAACAATCTTTCATTTAAAAGAGAGATTATTGAATTGATGATCAATCACGCAAAAAAAATTATTTTCTCTTTTATTTTTATTCTATTTTATCAATTTAAATAACAATGATATTCGACCATGTGCATTGCACGTACAATCCAACTACTATCTTTTAAAAACTAAAGATGTAAAGACATGCAGGAATTATTGAAACTATGACCAAAAAAGGGTATAACACAAAAAAAGTGATCCAAAAGGCATCTTTCTTTAATAAGTAGTAGTAGATGCAACTATTACATAAAGGTTACTTCTCACTTCTACTTCTGGAGCTTATTTGTTGTCAATACACAGTTTTGTTGGGTCTAGTACTAATAAAAAGACTTCAAGGATTACGAGTGACTACAACACCATGGCATCTGCTATTAACACTTTTTATTTACTTTATACCATTTTGACTGTTAGAAATCTGATTCCTTTGCATGTATCAGCTGGTACTACAAAATCCTAAATTTCTAGGCAGGATATAAAGCATAGATCGTGAATAGTTTCGTAGTTCTGCGAAAATATAAGGTCATGGAAAGAACAAAAAAAAAAAAAGAGAACAAATAAGAAGAAAATCAAACATGACAACTTCACCAGTAGATAAGGAAACATTGACAGCAATTCATGAAAAGAGGATTCCTCAAAAGTTGGCACTCATACAATGGACTACTCAGCTCTCTAAATTCCACCACCACCAGAAAATAGGAAAGAAAGGTCATTGGCAGTAAGGAAACAGAAAGCAGAAAAGTTTTGAGAGAAAACAACCGATGGAAATGAGAACCATATGGTTAACATGCTTATAGACGACCTATAACAGCCTCGACCTCAGCAGGAGAATAGAGATGATAATTTGGAGAAACCTTTGCAATATCGACATTGTTTGGGGTCACCTGATCAAAAATAACAATAGTATATTCTCTTAAAATGTTGACAAATAATCTACACTCTAAGGGTGAAACTTCAATTAAAAAAAATAACAATAATTGCAGCTGTACCTTCTCCTCCATCACTTGCTTCAAGATAGAAAGAGCAATTGTTTCAGCTTCTTGGAGGGTTAAGTCCTGTAAGAAAGCCAACATATCAAAAAAGTTCCCCAATAAAAGGCTAAATAGAAAGAATGGGAAAAATAAGGAGTGTTAAATTGTGCTAGTTACCTTGTTGTATTGCTCCTGGAGAGAGCTGTCAGCGCCTTCGGAACCTGAACCTATTGCTTTTGCATTGCATTGCCAGAATGTACCCGATGGGTCTGTATAATACCTGCAGATCATTTGCTGTCAATAATCAACTATTAGCAAAAATATACATTCACAATTGGTAGTAAAGATAATTTCGCCTGCCAACAGGGTAAGGAAAATTAGTTAATGACGTTTCCTTATCAGTTTGCAAGGGAACAGATGGTTTGTTTAGACTAATATAATTACAGAAGACTCTATAGAGAGATGGCTTCATAATAGAGCCAACAACCATACTACATAGAGACACTAGTGTTTTTATTTAGCATAAAATAGAAGCCAGACTCTTGAAGAAGCATTTTCAACAAGAATATACAGAAAAAATCTTGAGTGACACCATCCAATTAATAAACTATAGTCTTCGAAAAGGCTAATCCGTCCATTACTTGATCCTAATCATTTCTTGCTTAGCACATTGTATATGAAAATTACAGATTCGTATAAACAGAAAATGCACTGCATGATTCATCACTGCCACGCCAAAGCCACAATTGTCCATTTACAATAGTATAAGAGCTTTTGCGCTTACAGATCTGGTTTCAAAAAATAAGAGCAAAGATTGTCCATTTACAATAGTAAAACCTCACTTTTCACTCGCCATGTTGATATAAAGCAACAATTGGAGATAACACCAGCATAAGAACCGCAAGGTGATATGATAGTACAAGAGAATAAACCATCTAGCTTACATTTTAAAGTGAATGATATTTCTATTTCTTACTAAAGAGAAGCAAAGACGACGCCCTAAAACATGGGTGGTCGGTTATGAGCCTTTGATGGACTCAATGGGAATTCTCCCCATTGTGTGGCTCAGAACCAACTGCTCGCATGTGGTTCAAAACCAACAGCTCGCATGTGGTCAGTTCTAATAAGATTTGTAGTTGAAAACATGAGTGACTTTTCAAAGGTAATTCATGTGATCGGTTCTGTTAAGATTCGTAGTTAAAAAAAAGAGTGATTTTTCACAGATAATTCAAGACAGAACTACTACCGAGCATAGTATTTGCCCAATATACTTAAAGAATGCATACTAACATGCAGCTAGAGGCTGCAATGTATCTGGACTTAGAATTCTTCATATAAGGATTACTTCTGATCCAGGATTCTACACCAACTAGTTGGAGTTACGTTCATTAACAATCAGTCATTGTAACAGAAGAACAATGCCGTGCACAACATACAGAATGTGTGTAGAGAAAGACTTACAAGCTTGGTCCGTTTTCATCATGGCCAGCAATCAGAAGAGATACTCCAAAAGGTCGAGACTGAACACAATAATCATAGTAGTTAGTAAGGATTTTAAAGAGCATCACTATGTTCAATATTAGCAATAAGTAGAGGTGGTAAACGATCGAATCGAATCGAGTACTAAGGTGTTTGTATTTGTATTTGCTTAAAATTATCGAATTCGAATGTGGACTCTAATATTCATATATGGTGTTTTTCAAATTCGAACTCGCATACTATGTATTTGATAAATATTCACAAATATTTATCGAATATCAAAGTATATTTATTCTGCTAAAGAATTTAATTTTCAAATAGTATTTAATGTTTATAAATAAAAATTATTCATTTATAATATATGATGTATATATATATTTAATTCAAAATTTTCATTAGAAAATAGATTTATAATTATTTAAGTCTTAAAATTAGTACATAAAACTTAAATAGAAATGGTAAGTGGGTTAAAAATATGATATTATATGTGCAATAATAAAAAATAATAAGTGATCAAATTTTAAATGAATAATTGATAGACAAACGAATCGAATATACATCTGGTTAAATTATTTGTTAGTAAACTCAAATACTAAAAAATATTTGTTTAGTGGTAAATGAACTACCGAATCGAATACGACCGAATAGTTATTTGTTAATTATTTGGTTCATTTCCACCCCTAGCAATAAGTACTATAGCAAACACTCTGTAGAAATGGAGATTAGAAGTTAAATGCATGTTTGATTTGAATACTAGAAATTTTTAATGTGTGTTCCATTTGACCACTTAAAACCTATTGCTACCGAATGGGGGCCAATTAGGGGACAAGACTCATAAGTTTAGACAGGACATAAAAGAATAATAAGGAATAAAATTATACCATATAAATTAAAATCTTATATGCTCTGAAAAATATAACCATGTGATGGTTTACAAAAAGATCAATTACTACATCCTGTATCCTGAACACTTCCATTAACTCACTTGTATGTAGGAAACAAATCAACATGCATAATGCGTGTTATGTAACCCACTAATATGTGTCAATGTGCATACATATGTCACCCATGAAGGTGTGTAGGCGTTGCATGTTACAAAAATGATGGTCAGGAATGGTGACGAATAATCTTTTGCCCATTGTCTGCTGAAGGGGGAAAAAACATGATGCTTAATGATAGTAATGCTTACCATGGATTCTTCATCTCCTTCACCAAATCGCAAAGCAAGATCGCATAGAGCCTGAGTGGTTGACTCAACTGTCATTGGTTCACCATAAGAAAACCTGTGATTCTGATGATACGCAATTTCATTTAGTAACTAATACACAAAATAATTGCAATATGGAGTTTTCCGCAGAATCTAAAAGCACCTGAGTTTCAACACGAGCATGCTCAACAAGAGTCCGTGCATCAGCAATCAATCCACTCATTGCACAGCCTATGTGCTCATCAATTTCCATTATTTTCTCTACACTGCTCGGTTCCTAAAAAAATAGAGTAAATAAAAGGCCAAAACCCCTGAAGCTCAAACCGTACAGTACAAAGTGGGATGTTAAGAAATAAATGGTAGGTTAAATAAAGCAATAGCTAATCTGGACCAGGTGTCCAATTCAGAGCATAATTTGAATCTCGTTTCAGGCAAGGATCCTTGAAACTCAAGCAATAATGTAGCACATATCCATATTCGAAGTCATACTATAGGATATAATTAACAATTGGGTATGAACACAAAAATGAATCTGGTTACATCCTATTGCATGTAAGAAAGTTAAAAAATGAGCACTCTCAGATTATAAAAAAATTCTATCAGCTAGTATTTACCATGAAGGATTCTTGAACCCAAAATTAACTACAACAACTGAACATATTCAAAGGATGTAATTTTAATATGTTTCTTTTAATAAATGTAATCATTCTTCTATAACTTATGGAAATAACAACATAATGGGATGCCGACTAGTTGAAATTATATTATAAGCTTTATCAAATAAACCATTTCATGATTTCTTTGATTTGAATTATAAGAAAGGGGATGGGCAGGATCTTCATTTTCTAATTCCTCTTGTTAAGTATTTTCTCTTCTAATTCCTCTTCTGAATCCAACCGTGATGTTTTTTTATGGCAATATTCAGCGTCAACTCAATTTTTGGTTATTACTCCATCCTAGCACTTAAGTTTAATTAGACCAATATAGAATAGTTGTTAAACAATAATGCTAGTATCAATCATAGTTACACAGTACGCGGTATGTAGCAGGTCACGTACGAGTTCAGGTATGCAATTCACCACTTAGAAAACTTGGATACGTTAGGGAGTAGCTTGCTTCGGTATGCAAGTTAGGTAGGTACGTTGTAAAGTTTTTTAGGGTGTGCTTAAAGTTTTCCAAAGTATATAGTAGAAAACTAGAATTCTAATTATAAATTTAATATTTTTTCATACCAAATACTTAAATACTTCTTTTAGATGGTGTTTGTTCCTTTGTTCTGTGTTTTTTTCTTCACAAAGCTTGTTTTCGGATCATGCTTTTGTTTTGCATCTAATTAACATATGTTTAGTTATAGTAAAATCATCAGCTCATACACTCTATTGTGTGACTCTCTTCACTTAATTGCACACATTGCATTGCGTCTTGTGCACGTGCACTTAAAAAGGCTTTGCATCTAACATACTTGTAAGTGGTACGCCAACTTTAAGGAATCGGTTCATGTAAATATACCGGGAATCGGTTCATAAATGTACCAGGAATCAGTTCGCAGGAACTGTACGATGATTCGAGGGGTCTGAGTAAAGGTGCAAAACGGTCCGGATATATCCGGACCGACCGCAACTATATCCATTTACAAAACATATATGGTAGGGAAAAATTAAAACCGGTTGGATATGGTTTCGGATATGGCTATGGTTTTGATTTTTTATCCGGATATGGTTATCGGGTCAAAATTCGGATACGGATATCCTGATATTTAAAATGTGCTAAAAAACTAAGTTTCTAACACTTACATAGTTATATTAGGTCGGGTCTACAACATATACTCAACCGGACCCATATTCAATTCATTCAAAGAATTAAGTCCAGATAGCTTTTTCATTTTCACGATTTCCTCAAACCTCTTTTTTTCCCCAAGGGTGCTGCTGCTTCCTAACTCCGCCTCCATGCTTCGACGTCAGCTTCACCTCCACCTCCAAGCTCCGACGCCGATTCCCCCTCCGCCTCGGCCTCGGCCTCCCCTCCGCCTCCACCCCGTCCTCATCTCTACTTCGCTGTTCAAGAAGTCTGTCTCGTCCTCTTTTTCATCGACGACCATTAACAGCAACCTCCTCTCCTTCTTCGAAGATTCTCCTCCTCAATTTCATATATCTCAAAGGTGAACTCAAAACCCTGATTGGTTGATGCCCTAATTTTTTTGTTTAATAAAAGCTCTAATTTCGAGCCCTAATTTGTTTGATAAAAATCTCTAATTTATTAGCCCTAATTATTTTCAGCTGCAATTTATTTTTTATTATGATTGTAATTTGTATCATTATATTTTTTTGCTTGATTAAATTTGTAAATTTCATTGCATAGATATTGGAATCATGTCGTCCAATCCATATTTATGTGAAAGGATTAGGACGAAGTTCTTCAAAATTAAGGCAGGAGCATGAAAGCCATCCAAGTAGTGGAAAGCAAAGCCAAGTTATTTAATAGAAAAGTATGCCGTAGTTTAGATGAGTTATTCATTACTCTAAATTTTACTGCATTATCTGCAAAAATATGGGAATGTATCTAACTTGTAGGCTTCAAATTTCAGAAAGGAGAGCGGATGCTAACTTTTGAGTTCATGTCTAATGGAACTCTGAGGGAATGTTTATTAGGTTTGCTCTTAAATAACAAAAATCATATATTCTTCTCTCTTCACTTTGCCTACACTAAAAATTTTCTTTTCTTTTTTCATAGATTTTGGGCTCTCCAAGCTAGTATCGGACAGCGAAAGAGGTCAATATACTACTCGGGTGAAGGAGACATTGGTGAGTATTTATGTATAGTTACATACTTATTTCCCTAATTTCTATTTTGTGGGATGAATCTGTGTAGCAATGTTCTGAATTTTTTTTGCTTGCAAGTATATTAGTTTTTAGTTATATTTTATTTGCAAGTTATTAAAATAATATGTATTTTTTGTCATATCCTATTCATATACATTTCCCAAATATCCGATTAATATTCATATCATATCCGTATCCGATTCTTTAATATTCGAATTGTATCCGCTTCCGTTTAATGCGAATATGATACTGCTCTTTTCTTACCGATGAATATCTGAACCATATCCGTATCCGTTTTTAAAAAGTGGGTATGGATATGATAAGTGTCATATCCGAACCGAATGCACCCCTAGGTCTGAGGAATCACGCAATTATAGTATCGATTACATTTATCAGTATACAGTTCAAACAGTTCTTCAGAATGAGGGATGTGAATATCAATTGGTTCATCCTCTTAACCAACAGAGTAAAGAAAGAAGCAAAAAAAAAAGAGTATCAAATTTTGCAAGAATGCCTAGCAGAAAAATACTGGAAAATACTTTCATGCAAAAACGGAAAACAACAATCCCCACGATACTGTCCGGGCTCCTGCCCCCAAACCCAATCAAAGTACAACACCAATAGTGCGTTCTGGAGCTATAGAACCAATGTGAATCTTGGTTGTGTGGGTTCTGCATAGTGCTGATAGTTGGACAAACACTGTCTTGATAATAGTTGCCTCCACCAAGAATTTATCACCAGCTCAAAAAGGTTGATTGAAGGCCTAATTATGACTGCGAAATTTGGTAAATCACTTTATGAAGCCTAAGCTTTAGCAGCTGCTCGACAGACAATAGAATTGTGATGAGAGAAGGTTATTATGATCATGATGTTAATGAAGAAAAAGCAGGCGAACTTCTTCCTTGTAGAAATCTTTACATGTGAACTCTTGATCTAGACTCTTCCTTTTCTGCAGGAAATTTGGATGCTTCTTCTCAGTTACATAGTTTAAATTGCATTCCATATAACCATCAAGACCTATGGAATTTCTTCAGGTTGAGTTGTCTTCCTAATGAATGCTATTATGATGGAAAAGGGCTTATAGATGGCTTGTGATGAATGACTGATGAACTTATTTTGTTATGGCAAAAGCCGTCTACTCATATAAACATACAAATGACATTATGGAGAATGGAACACTTCTCCAAGTTTATAGAAGAATAATTACTGTAACAACCAAAATTTGCTGACCAACAAGATTTTTTTGGCTCTTTGCTCTTTGCTCTATTCTCACATGATCAAGTGACATTATATTCGAATTGGACACTCTACATCACAACTAGCAAGAGAGCCCTGAAACTGTCGCAGTTGCAAAAAAAAAAAAAAAGAAGAAGAAAAAAATCCCTTAGCTCGCCAAATACCAAAAGCTAAAGGAGCGACAGTGGACAAGGCATACAAGAAAGGAAATAAATAATAGAACAATCGGATAACAAAGGAGTAGCTAGAAACAGAACATAAGTGGATGAAGCTGAAATATGCTTTTGGTGGCATTATGCGACCACAGCCACAGCAACGCTCAGCAACTATAGGAAAAAATCACAGAGGCACGAAGTTCGAATATAAACACTGGTAAAAGAAAACAACATAACACCAGCAAAATCAAGATTTTTATATACATGTATGATTCAACTATGAATGCCAAACTGAAAACAAGCGCTCGTAATACCAACATAAAAGTATTTATGCTTATGAATATACCTCCTGTTATTTTTCTCAAGTAATCAACTTAATCATCAAATCACCAAAATGTAATTTGCTTAATTCTAAAAGCAACAAAATGAAACCCCTTAAAAAAAACAAATTGAGACAGATACCAGCAAAGTTGAGGTGACTCTCTTCTCGACCGCAAGCACAACTCCTTCCTTCGTTTTCAAACCAATCGCAGTCGAACCCAACTGAATCCAGAAAAAAAAAATGAATTCAATAAAAACAATGATGATAAACCAATACCCATCTCGTAATTAGATCCAATGAATCCAAAATCAGCGGAGAAATCAAACCTTGATTGCTTCGATGGCATATTCCACTTGAAACAGCCTCCCTTCAGGTGAGAATGTGTTGACTCCTCGATCATATTCAGTCCTTCACAAAGGAAACCCCAATAGAAAACCTAAAAGATTTAGTTGCTGATTTGCTAATAATGGAGGTGTTGAAATAATAAAAGACGAGGCTTTTTACCTGGTGAGAAACATGGTGAAAGAATCGCAAAAACCCTAGAAATCTGCTGCTGAGGGCGAGGAGTTTGGGAGTTGTATTTTGTGGAGATTTCGAGCTGGGGTCGACTCTACTTAGCGAACAAGTCAGGCGTGGGGAGGAGTTGAATGGTAATTTGAGGGGGAAACGAGGGGTGTTTTGGTCATTAGATAAGGTTACGAAGGAATACTATGGGCCTTTTATCAAACAACGGACATTCATGGGCTGGTAGATGGGCCTTCTTTCGGACCTATTTACACACAACCTTTAATTGTTTTTTCATTATGACCAATTTGCCCCCATATTTTAACATTGGGTGTTTCACGTGTTCCCCAAACTAGTGTGTAGCCCATGCAAACACGGTCCCATGTTGTTTTTAAGCATGATATTAGGCATATTATTCATAAATATCTTGTTGCATATATTTAGGAATATATAGCTGTATAGTTTCCGGTTTTGTATTTAGGAATATATAGCTGTATAGTTTCCAGTTTTGTAGCTTAGTTTCCTAACTAATCCTAGCTAGCATTAACCTAGTTTTGTATATATATTGGCAGAGCCGCAAGGCATAAGGCAACGAAATACAGAAGAGAATTGCTCTCCTTTCTCTATTCTTAATTCTAGCATGGTATCAGAGAAGGTTTGATTTAACAGTTTCTTTTTCATCTTTTGTGATATTCAATTCTCCATTACAATGGGCGACACTGGAACTAACAAGGGTGTGGATTCTTCGTCTCCGTATTATTTACACCCTTCCTCGAACACAGATCGAATTATATCCCCGGTGGTGCTCCGTGGGAATAATTACAATGAATGGGCTCGATCGGTCCGCAATGCTTTCAAAGCGAACAACAAACTTGGGTTTATTGATGGCTCGATTCAGCCACCCAAGTCGACAGAATCGACGATGTTTTCTCCATGGGTGCAGGTGAATTCTATGCTCGGGGCATGGTTACATAACACCCTTGATGCATCCATCCGTTCTATTGTCCCTATTAATGATGATGTTAGGGATATGTGGGAAGATATTAGGCAGCGTTTCTCGGTTGGAAACGGACCTCGAATCCATGAATTAACGAGTCAATTGACTCATCTTGAACAAGGTGGCGACTCGGTGGTCGACTATTATGGCAAAATACGAATGATTTGGGATGAATTAGCTTGCTATTCAGCCCCTGCGTGTACCTGTAGCTGCAAGTGTGGTGCGAAGGGTGCATTGGTGAAGGAAAGGGAAGATCAGAAGGTTCACCAATTTTTAATTGGTCTTGACTCATCCATACATGGTACTGTCCGTTCTTAGATTCTGATGCAAGAATCTCTTCCGCCATTGAACACGGCCTTTTCCAACGCTTTGACTGAGGAACGCCATCATTCCATTGTTCGTCAAGGTGACAAGAAGGCTGAGGCCGTGGGTTTCGATCATTCCATTGTTCGTCAAGGTGACAAGAAGGCTGAGGCCGTGGGTTTCGCGGTGCAAGGCAGTGCTCGTGGGCGTGGAGCAGCGCCTACCAAGGTGGGTGACAAGCCTCGCTTCACCGGCACGTGCTCTCATTGTAACAAAGTCGGGCACGACAAAGACAACTGTTTCCAGCTTCTGGGATTTCCTGACTGGTGGTATTCTGAAAATAGGGCAGCAGCTAGGGGTGGCGGCAAGTACACCCGTGGTGGCAGGGGCAACGGTCGTGGACGTGGGAATGTGGCCAATGCTGTTGGCCAATCCTCTGGCAGCACATCAGGTCAACAAATTGGCGCACCCGATCGCAATGGGGTGCAACTGTCGGATGCACAGTGGCAGCATTTGTTGGGTATGCTAAAACCCTCTTAACCCAATGATGCTACTCCTACACATGATGGTAAGTGTAAGTCCACTCAATGGATTATTGACGCTGGTTGTTCGAACCATATGACCGGGAATATTTCTTTATTCGAAAGTTTGTATGATGTTTCTCCATCTCCAGTTGGGTTACCAAATAGCAACCAAACGACGGCAATTAAGGAAGGCAAAATTGTCTTGAGTGATGGTTTGATTTTGAAGAATGTGTTATATGTTCCTAATTTGAATGTTAATCTCATTTCTGTTTCACAATTACTTGCTACCTTGAATTATTTTATCACAGTAACTGATTAATCTCATTTCTGTTTCACAATTACTTGCTACCTTGAATTATTTTATCACAGTAACTGATAAGCTATGTATCATACAGGACCGCAATTCGAGGACCCTTATCACAGTAACTGATAAGCTATGTATCATACAGGACCGCAATTCGAGGACCCTGATTGGAGCAGGTGAACAATGTGACGAAGTATATTGGTTTAAGCCCACGAAGCGGATTCAAGCTAATCAAACTACTGTGGTTGGACAGCAAGAATTGTGGCATCGTCGGCTTGGTCATCCTTCCCGAAAAGTGGTGTCTCTTTTGCCTTTCATTTCTTGCAATAAAGCTCATAGTGAGAGCAATGATTTCTGTGATTCTAAGGAACCTTGTGGTATTTGTTTGATAGCCCATCAAACTAGAAGTGTTTTTCCGATTAGTGAAAGTAAAACAGTTGATTTGTTTGAGAAGATTCATTGTGATATTTGGGGCGATTACAAAGTTGCTTCTAGCTGCGGTGCTTATTACTTTCTCACAATTGTTGATGATTTTTCGAGAGCCGTGTGGGTGTATTTAATGGGTGCCAAGAGTGAGGTTGGACAGATTATCAAAGATTTTTGTTCTATGGTGCAAACTCAATTCAATAAACGGGTTAAAATTTTAAGGAGTGACAATGGGCATGAATTTACCTGTTTACGATGTTTTTATGCTGAAAATGGAATGTTACATCAAACGTCATGTGTTGATACACCTCAACAAAATGGTAGGGTAGAACGTAAGCATCAAGATTTACTTAATGTGGCTCGGGCTTTACGTTTCCAAGCTAACCTACCTTTGATTTTTTGGGGTGAATGTGTCTTGACGGCTGCTTATGTGATCAATAGAACTCCTTCTCGTGTGTTAAATGGCAAGTCTCCGTACGAAGTTTTGTTTGGCAAATCTCTGAATTACTCTCTTATACGCATTTTTGGAAGCTTGTGTTATGCTAATTATCGTCCTAGAGTGAAGGATAAGTTTGGTCCTCGCTCTCGGAAATGTATATTTGTCGGATATCCATTTGGGCAAAAGGGTTGGCGGCTTTATGACTTGGAGAGGAAGGTCTATTTTGTCTCTCGTGATGTTATTTTTGTGGAAAATAATTTTCCTTTTAACAACATGGATGCACCTGTGACAATTGATGGAGTTGGTATAAATGAGTTATTTCATCGCCAACCACAAATTGTTGTTGATGAGAATGATGGAGAAAGTGGAGTTAGGGGGAGTTATGAGGGTCATGAGGTTGGAGAGGACGACCATATTACTGCTCCCCTTGACCAGAGGTCTCCACAGCCTGGGTGTGGCACGAATGCATTACCCACGCCCTCTCCGTGACCTGCCCAGCAGCAGCACACGCAAGAGCAGCAGGCTCCGCAACACGGGTGTGGCTTTGATGCACCAGCCACAGTCCAGTTGCCGCAGCCACTTACCACTCCACAACCTATTTTTGAAGAACCCCTTGGTAAAGGACATCGTATACGGACTCCGTCAACTCGATTAAAAGGCTACATCACCAACACAATCCAAACCATTACTCCCATCACTGTCACTAGTTCATCTCCTCCAAAGCGGTCCTCAGGTACGCCTTTTCCAATAGCTTATTTTGTTAACTGTGATAAATTTTCTGTGAAACATAGGCAATTTTTGGCAGCGGTGACAACTTGGGTTGAACCAAAATCCTACTCTGAAGCAATCAAGCACCCAGGATGGCGTAATGCCATGAAAGACGAACTTGACGCTCTCGAATGACAAGGCACGTGGACATTGGAATCTTTACCTCCGGGAAAGGTCGCTCTTGGTAGTATGTGGGTGTACAAGGCTAAGCTCAAGCAGGACGGGTCTCTGGAACGACTGAAGGGGCGACTTGTTGTCTTTGGCAATAGACAATTGCCTGGGATTGATTTTAATGAAACATTTGCACCAGTCGCAAAAATGGTGACTGTCCACATGTTTTTAGCCGTTGTTATTGCTCGAAATTGGGAACTTCATCAAATGGACGTGCACAACGCATTTCTTCATGGAGACTTAGAGGAAGAGGTCTATATGAAGCTTCCCCCTGGCTATGCACCATCGGGTTCGGCGAGTAAGGTCTGTCGTCTTCGAAAAGCTTTGTATGGTCTTAGGCAAGCACCTCGGCAATAGTTTGCCAAATTATCTTCCGCTCTGAAGTTGTTTGGTTTTAAACAGTCCACTGCATATTACTCATTGTTTTGCTATACTAAGGGGGATGTGTCATTATATGTTCTTGTATATGTGGACGATCTACTCATTGCAGGTTCAGGTCATGATACAGTGCTAAAATTTAAGGCCTATCTGCGTGATTGTTTTCATATGAAGGATCTTGGGGTCCTTAAGTACTTTCTTGGAATTGAGGTGGCTCGAGGTCCTGCTGGCTTATTTTTAAGTCAAAGAAAGTATGTCTTGGATATCATAAGTGAGGCCGGCTTATTAGGGTCCAAGCCTGTCTCTACTCCAATGGAGCAAAATCATCAATTAGCTCGTGTTGAGGGGGAGTTGTTTTCAGAACCTGAAAAGTATAGGCGACTTGTAGGGCGATTGGTCTACTTGACGATTACTCGACCTGAGCTCTCCTATTCGGTTCATGTATTGGCTCAATTTATGTCTTCTCCTATGATCGACCATTGGGAGGCAGCTCTTCGCGTTCTTCGATATCTTAAAGGGTGCCCCGCCCAAGGAATTTTGCTACATCGTCAGTGTAACTTGCAGATATATGGTTTTTGTGATAGTGATTGGGCTAGTTGTCCTATTACACGACGATCTTTAACCGGTTATTTTGTGCTTCTTGGGTTGTAGGGTAGAAATTTGATTTCCCGGAAAAGGGAGTTTCGTTTGTATTTATAAGAAAGCTTATTACAAACTAATAATCAAATGATTACAACAGAAGCAGAGGGAATGCCCTCTTTGTTTAACGTGGGTTCCTCGGTGGCGATAGGATGCCTCGCTCGGTGCTCGTGCCGAGTCTGCTTCCCTTGG